GGTTTTCATTGTTGGCATTTGCTGTTGCTCCTCTTATTGATCTAGTCTCTTTCTGTAATAAGATGTGCATTTGTTGTTCCTTTTATCAGTTGTCCTTAAACTGCCTCTAATGATAGATCCATCTGGGGGTTTGAGGGGAAGGTGAGTTTTTTTTTCTTTTTAATAAGTGCAGGTGAATCAGTCATTTGGGATTTAAAATTAGTTCTTATTTTTAAGGACACCAAGTACAGATTTATTCACATGTTTGCAGAAGTATCTGGGAAAACTCTTGGGGAGAGTTTTTTTTTTTTTTTTAATTTAAATGCTAGCAGTTGCACTTAGACCCCCTCCAGTATTCTTGCCTGGAGAATCCCAGGGACGGGGGAGCCGGGTGGGCTGCCGTCTGTGGGGTCGCACAGAGTCGAACACGACTGAAGCGACTTAGCCGCAGTAGCGGCTGCACTTAGACGTCCAACGGGAAGCATGAGACAGAATGTCTCTCCCGGGATTTGTCCTACTTCTTCCAAACCTGTTGTTGGGCCCACAGAATCCTTTGAACAGCTCAGAACAAAAATGCAGCGCAAACACCAGGTAGTGATAGTGTTGTTCCCGATCCTGTTTTTGCAGCTGGCAACTGGAAGTATTTGGGATGAGCTTCAGCCGAGGCTCCCTAACTGGAGAGGAGTTACCTAATCAGGCTTCAAACCACATCAAAGTGTGAGCGTGTCAGGCAAGGCAACCAGTTCATAACAAATGTTGAGGAATGATAGGATGTTATGACATCTAGGATAAAATATTATTTTAGAAAAGGAATATGGCTTTTCCTAGCTCAGTATCTTTCTGTTTACCTTTGGTAGAGTGTGCCAAAGTTAGGCCTTTGGAACCTGAAAACTCAGTGAAGGCTCAAGAATCTCCTGAATTCTGTGGCAAATAAAACTTAGCCAACTGGGTTGAGATTGACAGAGTTGGCACAAAATTGTGTGGCCATGAGGACAGGATGTGCCATCTTTGGCTTCCTCACCCAGCTGTTAGAGAACCACCTGACAAACCACTGTGTGTACTTGGGCTGCAGCTTCATGGATCTATCTGTAGATGGTATTAAATAGCAACTGATCGCATACTCTGCAGCCGAGCGCAGCTGGTTGGAACTGTAGCTCTACCCTGACCTACCTGTATGTATGTCCTTGAGTTACTATGTGGAACTCAGTCTCACTTTTGTCATCTGTGAAATGGGAATCAAAACTTTACCTCTATCATATACTTTTTTAAGATTGCACAGTACACACACACATACAGCATTCAGTACCTGCCCCTGGCCAAGTGTTCAGTAAATGTTGCTTACTATTTTGAAGTCATCAAAGGATGCAAAAATCCCTAACAGGGAAAAATGACACATACAGGACTCCTCAGAAAATCATGTACTGTCTTGAAAGGTCGTCACTAGTTAGCCACATTTTGCAGACACTTATACATGTGACCTTTATGTGTATATTGTTGGCCAAGGGTAATTGTTAATGATTCTAAGAAGAAACCCAAGGGGTATGTGGGGTCACTCCTGATGTTGTTTCTTTTTTTTTTCCCGGCGTCATGCGTCACTCCTGATGTTTCTTTCTTTTTTTTTTTTTTCCTGGTGGCTTCTTATGAGATTGGTGGTCACCGGGCTCAGAGTTGAGAGGTACCACTCTCTTTCTCCAGGTTGGTTAGACTTTGGGCTTTTTTGATTGTTATTTGCCCAAAGGCTTTGGAGGCTTTGGCTGTGAGAGGCATGCTGGTTGTCAGAGGCCAGTGGAGTATGAGTCCAGGGTAATTGGCAGAATAGGGTAAGTTTCAGGGGGTCCTCTGTTACTGTCGGGTACTGTGGCGTTCACAGTACAGGGCAGCCTGCTTTCACTCTGTATGTGGCTTATTCCATGTTTGATGACTTCTTCACTCCTACGTCATCCCTGTGAGCATTAAAGTAGGTCATAAAACGTGACTCAGACTTTCTCATAAATAAGAGTGCTCTCAGGATACTAGTCTCTTAACCTATGGCTATTTCCCGAGCTGATCAATTACCCTCCCAGGTAGGAGCACCGCTGCTTCAAAAACACATTGGTTTCCCATATTATCTTTCTCACTTTATTTTGGTGAAATTCAGGACATTTTGAAATTAAATCATTTCTGAAGTTGTGCATTATCAAATGTCACAGTAAAATTATATGAATGTCTCCTTCTTTCTACGTGTAGTTTCAATTTCCTGAAGCTAATTTCTCCCTTCTAATTATGAGCACTCCAAGAAGAATTAGTTTTTGCAACTCAGCATGAGAGCAAGTAACTCTTATTTCTTCAGGCTGAGTTGAATGCAGGAGACTTCCTGAATCTGCCTGAATACAAGTGCCTAAGGTACAAGATAAGTGTTTCCTGTTCTGTTATTATTATTCTATTTTCAGTGCTAAGGGTCACTGGGGAAATGATCTCCCAATGGTCAGAATTGTGTGCTTGATATTTCTAAAGGAATTTTACCCTGGTGATAGGTAACAGGAAAACTTGTATGATTTCTTTTTTTTCCTGGAAGGGTAACATTGATGTGAAAGTTTCAACTGTGTGTTAAATGTTATATTAAAAGTACAAGGTTGATTTAGACATATTTATCAAATCCAAGTGTACTTTTAGGTATCTCTGTTTGCTCATTAAAAAAATAAAAGCATACATGTTCACTTGAGTGGATTTTGCTTTCCCATAAATAAGTGACTAGAGTGTCTTTCCACACTGACTTTTTTGTTGTTCCTTTTGCCCCTCACCCAAGTAACTAGACTGGAAAAGGGAAAGGAGAATAACATTGCATTTCAGGCAGAACTAAAACATCTTATGTTGAGAGTAGTGTTCAGAATTATCCATGGACTCATTCTTCTAATTTTCCTGATTGTAACGCATTGAATCGACCACGGGTTGTTGTTGTTGCTGTTGTTGTGTTTTTGTGGATTCAGTATTAGTTAACTAAGAACCAAATATGCTGATTTTATTAGAACCAGAACTCTTCTGCTTCCTGGGATCCGTCACACAATCTCCCTCCCTTTCTTGAGAGTTGTTGTACCTTGTCTGGTTCTAAAATTGGTTCCTAACAAGTATTATATCAAAACAAAGCAAAAATAATTCTGCTTTCATTGTTCTCATATCTTTAAAACTCATATGCCTGGGTTTTAATTCCTTAGTGTAAGTTCTTTTGTTAATGCAGTCTTACAAAATAGTCAGGATCCTATCTTGTTCCCTATGGAAACCTTGGAAATGACAGTAATCTCTCTTATTTTTCATCTGAGAACATAACAAAAAGGTATGAGAACTCTGTAGTACTTTTCTATCCCCATCTCCTTCATTGTCAGATCATTAAATAGGAACTATGGCTATTAATTTTAGCAAAATGATGTACTGTCTACCACTTCTAATGGCTTATTAACCTTCGGAACTAGGTTTAATACTTGGGCATAACGTTTGCTTTTGGACCACCTTGGTTTTGACTTGCCCGTTTCCTTTTTTTTGCGGTTTTTTTTTCACTAATTGTGTACCACACAGCCTGTTGTTGGTTGGATATATGGATGCAGAACCATGGGTATGGAGACCCAGCTCTAAGTTATATTCAGATTTTTGACTGTTCAGGGACTGGTACCCCTAACCTCCACATTGTTCACAGGGCAACCATACTTTGATTCAGTTGGTACAACAAAGTAGATATTAGCATCCACATTCTAAGTGGGGAAACTGACTCTTTGAAAAGTCAATTTCGCATAGATAGAAAATGAAGGAGCCAAAAAATGGTCGCTGGGCTCCCTCTCATTAGGAGGTCACCCTCAAAAACATGGATATGGTGAGTATGATAAGAAAATGTGGTGTCAAGTGAAGCAATGTGCAGTTTCATCCCTGAAAGTTAGCTATAAAGATAGCGGGTTCTCTGTCTGCGTGGAGACACACCAGAGTACATACGTGCCCATATGAGGGGGTGCAGAGATTACCACCTGCCCCTGTCACACCTCAAGGGAGGTAGCAAGTCATTCTCTCTCTTCCCCCAAATGTTCTGACCCATCCTTTGCAAATATCCTTCTAAAATGAAGGTGGTAGACGAGAAGCAAAGAAAACAACCACCCAAGCTGCATGATAAGTTACCATATTTCCAAGTTAAGTAAAAGAAAAAAGTCATAGCTCACATTCAAGATTGAATTGAATAAGAATCCTGATTAGAATTTCTTGCAGGCACTGAGTCAGATGCTGTCTAGAAAATAACATGTTCTTTGAAAGGGAACGAAAGGCTCTGAATATGTACTCGGATTTGTTTTCTGTGTGTTTATTAGTTTTGCAGTTCTGATGAAAGTATCTTCCATTCAGTAGTGTCTGTGATCTTCAGTGCTAGCAGCCGTAAGAAATAGATATTCAATAATTTAATAACTGTTTATTGCAAATTAAGATCACTCCCATAACTGTCTGTGCCTGGGTGCCCAGTGTTGGGCTCTGTACCTCATCCTCTTTCCTTCAGAACACTGAAAATGGAGACTCAGTTTCAGCTCAGACTTTTTTCGTATCCCACACATCCATCCAGAATGGTTAACATTGCTAAGTTCTTTGTTAAATTACAAGTCTACTGCCTGGCTAACAAGTGAACAAGAAGTGTTCAAGAGCCCTTCAGTTTTGACTTTAGCTTGTTGTAATTTTCTAATGACGATGCAAGATTCTATACACAGGATGACAGGGCCAGGATTGGGAGCCTTTTTGAGGAAACTGAAAATCCTCACCCTTTTAAAACCTTACATCCACTAGTAGCACATTACTTCTCAAATGAAAGGTTACATTTTCTGCCTCCCTAAGACTAACGTCCCCTCTCCAAGTGGAAAACAAGAGCGGCATTTGGCATTCGTTTGTCCCAAACCCAAATCGCTGACCCTTTGTTTTTAGTACTTTGCCCTTTTGCTTTTGCTTTTTTGATTTGCTTGTGACTCTCTGCTTCCCCCATCTTTTTTTTTTGGTACAATGATTCTTACCTTGTCTTTCCCCAGTCCGTTTCTGACCTGGAGAGACGTGCAGCATGTTATTGTCAGGACTTCCCGTGCAGGACATTTGAACGCTAATGACTGGAAAACCAATGCTGCTGGTTTTAAGGGTGAGAACTTCTTTCATCTTCTGTCACAGGCAAAATATTTTTATTTTCCCCCATTTTAAATGGAGAGCAGGCAACAGAACCCCTCCACAGAAACTTTAAATTTTGTACTGACACAGGATGAGGTTGATCTCTTAGTTAAAAAAAAAAAAATGAAAAAGGCAGATTCCTCTTTTTAAAAAAATTAAAACAACATATTTACGGCAGATTTCCTTGGCTTCCCATATCATAGGTCAGTTTCTTTAAAGGTAACCATCTTCCAAGTATTGTCGACCTATGAGGCTCCTCGTTAGCTTACTATTTGCTGTCCTTGATTATCTGAGTGATATTTGTAACAATGAATTTAAAAATTCCTTATCTTCTGGAGTGATTGCTTCCAATTAATAACATCTGGTATCTTTTGTTCCTTTGAGGGTGGCACCGTTAGTTGGTAGGCTATGCATTCTATATATTTTGTTTTTGTTTTTCCCCAAACTTCCACAAATAGGAAAACAGGCCTAATTCCATGATATTACTTTACATAAACTAATAATTCTTATGAAGCTTCATAATGCAGTCTTATGCAAGTGTACACAGGCTATAATAAGTGCTAACTATTTTTCCCATGGCTGATAAGGATTATAGTTCCTTCAAACTATCTTACTAATAGTAACTATTTTGTTTGTTGTCATCCATAACATATGCTATAATCAAAAGAAAATAATTATATAAAGTGGATGTCTTACAGTTTAGTATCTTTACTCAAGTTTCAGATAACCTAAATTTTAAACCATTAAGTTATAACAAAGATTACTTTTTGCCATATCTGCAGACTTACATTTATTCCCAAATAATATCTGTATCATTATATATCCCTATAGATGAAAAACAGTATTCCATAACAGAAGGAATATCTACTTACAAATTGCAGTTCTGGTCCTCAGATCATTGGTAATAAGCTGAATAATCCTGGGCAAGTCATTTAATTTTTCTGGGCCCTAACTTCCCAACTTAGTTTAGAAGCTGAATAATATTAACTACATAGAATATCTTATGTGTGATTTCCATATATCCATAGTATATTATACTCAATGTATATAAATATTCATGCTGAAAATGTAACGTGTAATTTTAAAAATTATTTGCAAGTAGCTTATTAGAGTCTCATGCTTTGCCAAAACCTTTCAATATGCCAGTTAACCAGTGCCATATAAAAGAGTTCTTTGACTAACATCTTCACTGAAGACTTCACTTTTAGAAAAGATAAAGACTAGCCCTCTTCTTTTGAGTATTATCAAACACCTTTCCATGTTTGTAAACTATATAATGCTGTAGTGTTCGATGAGCTTTTAATTGAAAGCTTTGTAAATACCAGTTGGGATCACATTTTCTGAAGCCCAAATCAAGACACAGTCCCAAAATAGTAAATGCTATGTGCAGCATCAAAAACATTTGAAAGTTCAGTTGTTCGAGAAAATCCAGGATGTAATTTGCCATATGTATGTTTCCTTTTGATTTGCTTCCACATGCTTCCAACCTCTACTATAAATTCAGGCAGTCAAGGGGTTGAGTTTGGGGAGCAAGGTGGGGTGGGGGAAGGGATGAAAATATAACCTTGGTTGGTTCAACACTGCAATGAACTTCTTAGTAGAAGGTTCATAGACTAAGTACATTGACCTCCATAAAGCTGAGGAATCAACTTTAACCCAAATAAAAGTCTTAGTTTTACTTATTCCTTTTTGGCAACTTAAAAAGAGCAAATGGTTCTAATAAAAAATGCAACTCTTTTGAAAACCTCTGTTGGTTTTGGAGAGGGGGAAGCAGAGGCTTTAGACTGAATCTCGCCAGATCCAAACCTGAGTCTGAAGGGGGCTGTCCACTGCTTCTGGCAGGGGGCAAAGAGCGTTTTACTATTGCACGTGGCAATATTTAGTATAATATTTCACTCTTCTCTTAGATTACTGCCAAGAGTAACAATTAAAGTTCGCTTTTTCATAGATGAATTACCCTGAATGGTCTGGACTCCCAGCGGAATTGTTTTGTAATTTTGTTGATGGCAAGCCCCATATTTCATCTAAACATGATCATAATAAGAAGAATTTTTGAAATTTTCTTCCCTTCTCTAAGCATTCCCGTCCTCTCCCTAGCATCCCACAAATAAAAGCGATGAAGGCAAAGGCTAGCAGGAGAGGAGTCATGCTTTGGCAGGCGGGGGGTGGGGAATGCAGGTCACTAGGGCTGGAGAAAGATGGGCTGACTTTATGCAATAAGAACTGAATGAACAAAAAATAGTGAAGGCTTGGAAAATGTTCATGCAATGAGAGCTCATTTCAAATTAGGTCAGCCAGCTTTTGCAGGCCTTACTTAGTGGGAACACATGGCCTGCAGAAGAAGTTGCCTGCAAACAGAAGCCTGCAGCCCTGGGTGCGTGCCCTTACCACTGGGCTTGGTCCTAATGCTGAGTGAGATGTAGGTACGAAACAAATCTGAAAACACCTGTGCTTCCCTGGGCTTGCTCCTATGGCCTCATGTTGAGTGATCTAACTTGTATGAAGAGTGGGGTGTTGGGTTGTTTTTTTTTTTTTTAATCACTAGAATTTCATAAACAGGTTGGCAGGTACTCTTCTGCAATGGGGCTGTCAGTATGAATGTCCAGATTTCCTCTTTCTCACCTGGTAAAGCAGACAGCTCAATGTAGCAACCAGTTAGGTTTGGGGGTCTCACCATCAATAGACTTGATAGTCTTAGTTCTCACTGATAACTTGGGAGAAGCCAGCACCCTACAGATCAGGCTTTTCCCAAACCCTGCTACGTGCCTTTCATACAGCGTCCTTACATGTCTTTGAACCTACCCACGTGTGGTCCATCTAAGTTAGAGAACAGACCCACATACTATCAGATCTAGACTGATGTGGGTCTCTGTTCAAGGTGGACTTGATCCACTCTTACCTACATGTGTTATGGACCTGAATTCCTGGCCCCTAGAAGGACATTCCTTCCAGAAGCAACTGCTGGCTTCTGTTAACTGGCATGGACGGATTGCATTCAGGCAAGGAAGTTGCCCAAGGAGGACTGACTCCTCTGTGCATCTCTCTGAGAGCAGAGTTACAGATGAGCTGGATGCAGAGAACTTTCTTCCCCTTTCTCTGCACTCTCCTTGCAGTGAGATCAATTTATAAACAGTCCTATAGTGAGATCTGTTCACAGTGAACCACTCATCAACATTTTTATGTTATGGTAGCTTAACTTTTAACAGTGTTAACTGAACTAAGATGATTCTATCTTGCAGCTTCTTTATAATAATAATCTAATATAGATAAAATACCTTCTGTAGAAGATCTGTTTTTTAAAATAAACATAATTCAATGAATACATACCTATGAAAACTAACTGGATGTTATTTTGATATGTTCATCCTGTGAATAATCCTAGCTAAGTTTCAGACAACACCTTTTGATTTTAAACCTCTTCCGAGATAGTTTTTTTAATAATAAATGGAATAAATGTGATGCATCTATCAAATAATCTGAGATTATGCATGAAAATAGGAAAGTATTTGCATGAAACCACATCAACAGATGTGTTATCCACCACTAGAGAACTAAAATCGAAATTCCAGTATTTTTTGCTACTGACCAACATTTGCAATGCCTGGAGACAACTTTGGCATTCAATTGTTTGTTTGGGAGTTTCTTTAGTATTTCTTTTTCCTTTTTTCCTTTTGCTCTTATGAAATGTCTTTTCTATTTTTTTCCTTTCTGCTCTTTTTAATAACCCCCTCGTGCTCCTTAAAATGTGCAAATCAACCATAGAAGTGAGGGTTTTGCCATCTGGGTGGTTTTCTTCAAGGAATTTAATTTACGTAGTCTCCTGATTTACTTATTCACAAGTATTTCCTGCACACCGTCAGCAGGCCAGCCCAACACATGATGAAGCACACTCAAAGAGCAGAAACAGAGGAAATGTCCAGTTCCTATGACTTTGCCTCCTGTGATCTGGCTGCACTGTGATTTCCCTACAGAAACAGAAGTTTACGCTGTACTTTTTTCCCCCTCTAGTCAAACCCAATCAGTCTTTCAGGTTCATGTTTATAAAAGTGTCAGTGATCCTTCTCTCACCATCTAAAATGCAGCCCAGCCTGAGCAGCAGAAGGCAGCTAATGAGAGAATCTCTCCTGTGGCATGCCACATACATTTTGACGAGTTCTGTTTTTGCGTAGAAGGTGTATGGATCCTAGGGCCCTGCGGAGGGCTTGCTTGAATTCTGCATTCTTCTAGAATCCATGGCTCAGAGCCTTTCAGGAAGAACCCCTCCCTCTTTCTGCTTTAATCTGATATTCCTGCCTATTTCCTACCCATCTCTTCCCCCAGTCTCCTGGGCTGTGCTCATCGAATCTTTCCCCCACATCCGTAGCCCTGGTTTGCTGATGCAACTATGAGAAGTCTAATTGAATGCATGCAACATCGATGCTATAGTTTTTTTTCAAAGTGTCTGTATTTGGATATGATAACTTGATATTATGCAGTTAAACTCTCTTAAATCTAGGAACAGGAATAGACGTCAGATAATAAATTAGGAACTTCTGTCATCTTTACTAGGCGAAAGAAAGAAAAAAATGTCATTGAAAATCAAAATGACAACTAAGTGAGCGAGGTTACCACGCCTTCCATTTCACTGCCCTCCCAGACTATGTAAGTCTCTTTTTTTCTACCAGCATGTTGCTGAAACCTCCCCATCCCCACTGACTCTTTTCTTTGACCACAACTAAACTACTAGATTTTTAAATTTTTATTTCTAACTGATTTCCCACTGTGGGGAAAACAATTGACAGTCTAACATGACTTCTTAGCCTCAAAGGCCCTTAACTTTTAATAACCTTTATTACTTTTAATTGCCATCATTTTATTTCCACTGGTAGGGCTGGTAATTTTAAGATGTTCCAATATATTTTTAATACCTACTTGTCTTGCTTTCAGTTTGTAACACTTATTTAAAAAGAATTTAGAAGTGCTGAAACCATTAAG